GTCTCTCTTTGACTACGGTGCTGTGCGGTCGTGCTTATAAACAGCTGCCGCGCAGTGCCCATTGGGTTGGGTTGGGACTTGGCTATAAACGCCATGTTTCTCAACTCAAAATTTTAGATTCGACCATGATTGGAGTGCGGCGTCTTAATTGAACCGCTTCGGTGATGATCGGGGACCCGAAGACGACGGCTTCCGGCGACGAATACCAGATTGGGTTGGGGCTTGGCTATAAACGCCATGTTTTTCGACTCAAATTTGGATTTGACCATTGTCGGCGGCGGTGTCGTTGTTGTCGGTGGCGGCGGCGGCGGTGTCGTCGTTGTTGGCGGTGGCGGCGGTGTCGTCATTGTCGGCGGCGGCGGCGGCGGTGTCGTCGTTGTCGGCGGCGGCTGCGGTGGCGCGGGTCGACTTTGAAATTTAACGTATTTTTACGATGAACATTTTAATTTTCTTCTCGTTTGAGGAACGGAATCCATCGTCAATCATGGACGGGATCGGCGCACGACGACGACAATTTGTTTCGATTGTTCCAAGGAACGGAATCCATCATCAATCATGGACGGGATCGGCGCATGACGATGACGACGACAATTTGTTTCGATTGTTCCAAGGCATCCCCTGGAACCCGGAACATCTTTACGTTTACGATGGTCGTCGCTGATGACGACGACGACGAAGAAGGGGAAGGAGATTTAATTCTTCTCTGAGGAATGGGAGAAGCTGATTCGGTGATGATCGGGGACCAGAAGACGACGGCTTCCGGCGACGAACACCAGATTTGTTCTGATCGCTCCATCTTTAATTCTTTCGAACATTAAAAATTCCATTTTTTAGGCCACATGGCGATGGCAAATCCGACGATTCGAAATCGTGGAGGAAGACGACGAGAACTCTTGGAAGGTTGACACGAGGAAGAAATTAGCATCTTGGGTTCAGTTTCAAGGCTTTCAACCGAACACGAAACAACGCGATGCTCCGGTAGCTGCGGCGGCGACGATTTTGAAGAAGAAGGATGATTGATTTTCTTCTCTGAGGAATGGGAGATCGGCGGCGGCGGTGGCAGTGTCGTCGTTGTCGGCGGTGTCGTTGTCGGCGGAGCCGGCGGTGTCATCGTTGTCGTTGTGGCGGCGGTGTCGTCGTCATCCTGGTTCAGTTTCAACCGAACACGGAGCAGCGTGATGCGCCGGAAGCGGCGGCGGCGAGTAAGAGATGCGGCAGCGGCTGCGTCAGTGACTTCATTTTCTTTTTGAATTGTACGACGAACACAATGACAACTTTGATATGCCCGCAAGGGTGGTTGAGAACGCTCAGGACTGGCGGCGGCGGTGGCGGAGTCGTCGTCGTCGTCGTCGGTGGCAGCGGGTGGATTTGCTTTGATTGTTCCAGGGCGTCCTGGAACATCAAGTGACGTGACAAGCCGGCGGTGGTGGCGGCGGGGTCGTCGTCGTCGTCGTCGGCGACGACAACTTGATTTGCTTTGCTTTGATCGTTCCAGAGTGTCCCTTGGAGCATCACGTTTGATGGTTGTGGAATCATCAGATGTGATGGAGGGTGTGATGGATGGTCTTACATCGACACCGAGTGGTGAGGCAGACCGGAATGTGACTCGTCCAGTCCAGACTGTCTCTGGGCCAGGGAACCCAAAATTGTGGTGGATGAACCAATTGGAGTATCCTCCGAATCACCAGAAGTTACTCTTGGTGAAGAGGAGGGCAATGGTACAACATGGCTCTTGAGATGTGAAGACGGCGGCATCAAGAATCATTATTCATTATTGATTTGATATAACTGATTTGATTCAGTCATGTACTGGCTTGGTTGATCTTTGGTTGAGGGAGTTTTTGGTGTAGGGGTTTTAATGGGGCCACCCCCGCCTGGTGGTCTACCTTTCCCCTACACTTTTTCTCCAGAAACAGCTAGTTGTAGTTGGGGTGATGTAGATGTAGTTGGGGAGGGATGTAATTTCATGTTGTTTCAATTTCTGGCCAAAGCCGAAAGGCGGGCAGGCGGGGGGGTCGCGATCGTGGGGGCATGGAGGGGTGTTCCCCCTTTGTGCCCCCCCGTACGGCCTCCCCAGGTTGAAATA